ATGTTGTGGCGGGTCATCCAAGGTGTTCCTGGCAACCGAGACAGAGGGCACATGGCTGTGAGGGAATCCCAGGTACACTAATATGATCTGTAATACGGCCATTAATTATTCAGGTGTTTTATAATTTATTTTGATTTTGACACTGGGCAAGAGGCAGGGTACACCCTGGACAGGTCACCATTCTATCACAGAGCTACATCCTGGTCAGGGTGTGATCAAAAGACTGCTGCCAAAATGTTTCTGTTTCTGTACACAAGTTCAGCATTTCTAGTTTTAACAGAGTTTCACCAAAAAGATAGACTTGATTGTTGTTGACAGTTCCCCCAGTACCTGCCTATGTTCAGCAAAATATATGTGTGTGTGAAAATGCTTAAATTTAGAAATAATTTTTATGAGTAAAATCTTATATTTCAGTATCTCTGTCTGACAGAAAGATCAGCTCGGTTTCTGTCTTGTGTCCTCAGATCTGTGTGGGGAAGCGAGAAGATGGCGAGATGTTTCTGAAGCTGAGCAGTGGAAAGAAGAGAGGGCTGGTCCCAGCTGACTCCATAGAGGAGATCTGAGCCTCCATTCTTCCACCTCTGCTTCTCGCAGGGACACAGCCATCCTAGAACTGAACTCTCTCCCCATCTTCTCCTGGAAACAAACGCATCAGACTTAAACCAAACTGGACAGAAAGCATTACATGATCTGGAACCACACCCACAGTGAAGGCATGGTTTCCAGCTGAGTTGGTTTTCTGTTAGTCTTTAATCAAGTGTAAAGTTGTGCAGTAATCCTGCTGTTAGAAAGGAACTGTTTCTCAGCAGTCTAGCTGTTTCTGTGGGTTTATCTTTTCAACTACAAGTCAATGTTTAGTTAGATGAGTCAAAAATGCTTTAATTAAATTTGCTTGTCGAATGCTGGTTCACATTTAGTATTTTCTCATCAAAAAGCTGTCTATCAGTGTGGGAGGAGGCTGAACCCTGTCAAGGGAACATGATGCTTCTGTCAATGTCCTTTTCTTGTTTCTACCCACTCCGTATTTCTCATCGCTGCCTGCTCATGTCACGGTATCAAGCCTGGGAATGATATGGGCTTCATGCAGACTGCTACGCAACATGAGGCGCTCGCCAAGTACGACCACTGCCAGCCAGAGAATGCTACTGCCATAAAGACAGACAGGGGGATCAGATGAAAGGAGAGCACACAATTCAAAACCGCTCAGCAGTGTCAGGCTGGGATGGAACTGTACTTGTCAACTTGAGAGTGCAGAAAGGTTTTCAAAGGGAAATTGGAGGGGCTGGGGATCTTTTCACAGGGAAAAAACTTATTCAGTAAACAATTACTAAGAAATTATAGAACATTTTGCATAATAAACTTTCCCTTTTCAACACTCACAGGAACTGAAACTTCCAGGAATTTGTTGAAAACGCACATTTCCTATTCTTTTAATGACATAACCATAGAGGAACACATAGTGCTTGTCTAGGCTCTACATTTAGCTGTTTCACCATTTTAAGCAAATGCAGTGAAATTTAAAAGGAGGGGAGAAGAAATGGGAGAGTTTCTCTAGAAAAACTGGGACAGCAGTCATTCCTTGTTTGGCTGACGCTTGAGAGCACCGAGCGAGAGAAGTGTCAACATATTCAAATTGCAACATTTACAAGTGGTCCTCACACGGAGGAGCGCAGCGGGCATGAAAAGGTTGGTTTCTGCAGAGATCTGCTGAAGAGCCCCAGCAGGCGCTGCAAGTGTTGTGCTGCATTTTAACATGTTTTCTAGAGTTCAAACAGCAGGAAATACACTGCAGCCAGTCTGCCAGAAGAAATAACAACATCGTGTGAATCTTTCTGCCCATGACAAGCAGTCTAAGTTTCAGCTTCAAGGAGGACACGAGAAAACTGGGAAAAGCAAGTGCAGTGTCAGCAGAGAGAGGAATGACACGAGTTATGAGTCAGCATGCACATGCAGTTAATGTTTTTACCCACAGGGTGCAGGAGTCATCATTATTCAAATGTCAGCTCCATCTTCTGCTCCCTGTTTGACTTCCCATGTCCTCTTATTATTGATGCGACTAGTCAGTTCTGACATAAAGTGAAGGTATTTTTTGTGTATGTAGGTACAGTCTGGTTGGTTTGAACTGTGGCTGATTCATTCAGGCCCCGGGTCGGCCCAGGCTCGAATCCGGAACCATCTTGCTGTGAGGTGACAGCACTAACCGCCGCGCTGCTACAACAGTAGATGGTACTGCAAAATAAAGACTGCTTATCTTTTTTTTAAAACTCATACCCCTATGTTTTATTTCAGAGCACTAACAAGTACTAGCTATAATCCTTCTTAAGTCTACATTTCAAAACCATTTAAGCCTTTAGAGACTGTGAGAAACACACTTCTATTCTTGTGAGAACAAGAATAGCACTTTATCCTGTGTCATCTGAATATGTTTTTGCTGAGGTATCTCCCTCATAATGACTGATGTCGTATTCAGCAATACTTCACCAGCAACTCATCTTCATGTCACAGTGGAGCTCTTCAGTCTAATGGATTACAATCTGTTGGTTTGTCCTTGTTCGCTGGGTGTTTCTAAAGACTGATGGTGAAAAATGAATTACGCAGCAGCATAAACAATACGCTCATCCTGGAGAAAAATATGTCAGAGCAGAACTGGATTTATGAGCTTGCCCATGTAAACATTTTGCAATGTTGCTTTGTGCCCAGTTTTATGTAGCATCACATGTTCACAGCTTTGAAATTTCAAAATTTTAAGTATGATTGGATGTTTCCTGAGTCCAAAGTCACTGGTTGGCCACATACCTCAATAAAACAGCTTTATGAAACATTCTCTGCCTTGTCACATGATGTAGACACTGGCACAGTGATGTGTAAATGCTATTGGTCATGAAGGTTTCTATGACAGGAGGCATGTAGCTTTTGGTGTTTTTCTGTATCTGTAATTATATTGGCAGCCTGTTTTAGTTCAGTGATGGTAGAGAGCTTTTAAATAGGACACCTTAAAATTTCAGTGGCATCCATGCATAATGCACCAACTTCCATCCACAAACTGCTGTGCACAGAGGAATGCTAAGAAGATGCTCAGTTGGAGGGAGAACATTTCAGGCCTATGCATTTAAATCCCTCACAGTTACATAAACTGGAATAACACTAATGGAAATTTTAGCAAACAAACAGTTGTGTTTGTCCACACTACAAGTTAGCTAGAGCAGCTTTGGTGTTAGCTGAACAATACTTTTGTCAGTTCTCAAGAGTTATGTAGCAAGACCCAAGCATCCTGCAGGAAAACAGTTGCCCATGAGTTTACACCAGAATTTACAATAAGCTGTTTTTGAAACCATAAACGCTCCTGTTCATTTTCTAGTTGATGTGAATGATGATTCAACCTGTTTTCAGGTTTAATAACACAAACTGAAAGAGCTCAAACAAATATCTCAGTCCAGATATATGTGATCTTTTGTCTTTTTTTAGCTCCATACCTTTGTCATCATGGGCGGAGCCAGTGGGTGGCCAAGGGTGGCACTGGCCAACCCCAGAATCTGATTGGCCACACCTGCCAATTAGAGTTAAAATGTGATGCTTGTCAGTATTAATGAATTTTAAAAAATGGAAAAAAAAGACAAATCTTTGCCTTAGATACAACTAACATGTTTCTGGTACTTTATAAGTAATATAGGTCAAATTTTAGTTTATATCATGCATGCAGCATGATATTTGCATTCACTTGGCATGATTCACCGTGTTCAGGGGGAAACACTGATGTCCCTGGCTGAGAACAAATAAGGAGTGCAGCCAAAGTTAGCTAAAGAAAGCATTATGTGTGTCTTGTCTTTACAGAAAATAAACAACTTGATTCTTAATCATTTTGGGTTTATTGTTTCATAGAACTAGACTTTTTACATGCAATTCAACTATGCCACTCCTCTTTGAGTCGGTGCCCCAGCCTGGCCACCCAGTCTAAAATTTTTAAATCCAGCCCTGTTGTCAGTCCTGTACCTATCAGTGTAAAGTTGCAATGATTAGCTGACTAATTATTACTGAAATGTTGTTCATTAGTCTCAATTTATTTGCATTTTAAAGAGCCAACTTAACTAATGTAAGACTATACAGTTATTGGCTGTAAAGTAACTAGGACCTAGCACTAACTGTGTGTGTGTGTGTGTGTGTGTGTGTGTGTGTGTGTGTGTGTGTGTTTATCTTCCCAAAATATTGCTTCCAGACTCTGAACAGTCGTCTTCAGGATATATTATGCTGATGACGGATGTTGAGGTTAATGATTGTTTTGGGGATATTTCTGCAGAATAGGTCACATTCTGTCATGAAGCTTGCTAATGCTTCAACATTACAGAGGATAAACAATGGGAATATTTTTCATTCTTGGCTGCACTTTGTACTTTTGAGGCCATCGCCGCACACCTCTATTAACACTTGACAGTGCTGCCCATCTGTGACTCAGCACATGGCGAGTCCTCTCAAACTGATCAAAGTTTGCCCGTGTGGGAGAGTGTTTAACAGTCCCATCTCTCTCTCTCCCTCCACAAATCCTCTCATCTCATTCCACTCTGGCTAGATCTGCCACTTGATCACTTCCTCCCTCCTTTCTTCCTCTCACCTTAGACGTTGATGCAGACCCTCACACTCTCCCCTGTCTTTCACTGATTCTCTCAGACTTCTGGCTTTGTGTCTCTTTCTGTCCCTCTCATCCTATGACTTTCTGTCACTGCCTTCATGCCAGGGTATCTTTTTCTTGTATCAGACTGGATCTTGCTTAAACTAGAGAGAAGAAGTAAATGAAGGAATGACTGTCTACATGTATGTCCTTCCCTCTTTTCTCCTGCTCCTGTTTTGATATTGCTTCTGATTAAAGTTGTTTTAAGAGGGCATACAGTACCTCACCTGATTGGATTATGGAGAAAAATCTGAGGACATTGAGAAGTTTCAGAAATTAAATTGCCTATGAATAAGACTTTATTTCTGCTGGCTGCTCGGGCTTAAATTGGCCTTAACATCGACTAACCCAACAGGAGGGGGACAATTAAAGTCTAGTGTAAATGTGGTTATGGCTGAAATTTGACCCCTGCGTCATATCTGGCTGACCTCCATGGACCCTGCAGGGGTTTACTTGTGCTCCTATATAATAAATGTCCACTACCATTATTCAGAATGTCCCCTGCTGTTTTATTATGTCTCATGACCTTTTGAGGTGCCTCCAAGCAAGTGTCAGGGCTAACAGCCTCTGCACATTCTGTCCAGGTGAACAGAGAGCCATGACATCAATAGAGACAGACAGAAAGAAAGAGGGAGAGAGGAAAAGGAGACAGATAAAGAAAGACAAAGACAGAAAGCATCCGCTGCTGTACTGAACATTGTGGTCCTTGGGTGTGCTGTGTTTTGCTGTAGGTCATACTGTAGTTTGGGTGTGCGGATTAGAATCACCATGTGAGGAGCAAACTAAACCCGGTTTTGTTTGACAGCTGAGAGCAAGTAGCTGACTACAGCTCAGTAGCTTCATGCTTTAGACAGCTGGACTGACAGTTCTTGATCGAAATCTAATGGTAAATACAAGTTTATTTAATGCAAGATTTGTTTTTTCTTGCTCAAATAATACGATAGGATTTGGTAAGATATGTAATTATATTTGGCATCAGATACAGAAGTGAAAAAACCTAAACCAAACCTAATTCCTGGACAAATGGTAGAAATGTAAGCCTCACAAGATAAATTATAACAACAAATCAAAAGCAAAACACATTTCATTCAACCCTGCTCAGCCCCCACCTTCAGTATAAACCCACCAACACACCAACACACACAGAGGCTCAAATGTGCAGTTTTTACACTTTGTTATCAGAGAGAGGAAGCAAACAATTATCAAAGCAAAGAAAATAATGGCAAAGGCAGCTGTCAGGAGAATCCGACTGCAAAAAATAGACCTGATTAAATGAGCAGTCATTCCAAGAATAGCAGGTAATCACAGGTTGTTAAAACACTCACATACAGGGGCTGTCACTGATTTCAGCTGACAGAGGCGTAAAGAATAATTTCTTCAGCTGTGAACACAACATACTATTACCCTTCACCCACACAGGAACAAATGCAGTGCAATGATCTGTCTTTTACATAAAGCAAAAAATAGAGATTGAAATAGGACCACGGTAAATTAAAATCCCGTCACATGTACAGACAGGTGGCAAACATAAAGAAAAACCTGAATAAATGCAGATGCTGACATGGTTTGGATCCACTTGTCCCCTTGGAGGCAACGGCCACTGCAAATCGGTGCAAACTTATTCTGAGTGATCACTTTTATCCTGTGATGAAACATTTCTATCCAAATGGGAGTGGTTTCTTCCAGGATGACAATGTCACCATCTGTAGGGCACCGGGAGTCACTGAATGGTTTGGTGAGTATGAAAATGATGTGAATCAGCTGCTATGCTTTCACAGTCACCAGATCTCAGCCCAGTGGAACACGTACATCACCAAAACACCAAATGAGGGACTATCTTTTGGAAGAATGGTGTTCATCCCTCCAGTAGAGTTCAGCGACTTGTAGAATTGATGCCAAGAAGCACTGAAGGTGACACTTTATGTTGGGTTTCCTTTCATTTGTCACACGCCTGAATGTAGTTTACAGGGACATGGTAGAAGTTTGTCATCTCATTCTTGTCACAAACCAATTATTCTAGTTCTGTACACGTGCCCTCTCCTTGTATTGCATGTACCAGAACAGGAAACCAAAATGGCTTCACATAATAAAACCCTTAGTGATAGTATTTGACAAAAACCCAGAGACTCAGGTGCAGAGCAAAGCACAAAGAACACATTGTGAGAAAAATTAAATCCAGGCTGACTCAACCGTGACCACTGACTGTTTTTATATCTCACGGACCAGACCAAAATAAAGCTTCTAGAAGATATGAAACCTCTTTCTTTCCAGCTATGCGGGCGTGTAAATCAGGGATTAAGAAACGCTGTGTGACAAAGCGGCAGCGAGCATCAGAGGGATAAACGAAATTTTGAGGGAGATTAGACTAGTGGTCAACTTTGCTTTTAAAAGAAAAAGAGAATAAACATCATCATTCGTGTGTCTGGTAGGTTGTTTTCTCTGGTGCTCACAGTGCTCACAGTTGAGCATATATCATAGTGAGGGACCGCTGGTTACTATCTCATAAATGAAAAATAAGGTTTGTAATTTATCAGCTCTAAATCTAAAGGGTATTCCAGGTCTGTTATTTTTTCTTGCATAGACATTTCTGGCTAGATGCTCGCACACTGAACAGGAGTGCTGGAAAACTAATAAATAATAATCTGACAGCAATACATGATATTTTTATTATTCAAGAGGTAAGTTTTGAACTGTTTTCTTTAAAAACCTGATTACCAATTCTTGCAACAGGACTCTTGACAGCTCTGAAATGGCAGCAGAGCAAAGGCTACAGCTGTCAACGGTAACTCCTGCAGGTAGAGAGGCAGGATGAACAGACAGACAGACAGGTGGCTGCAGAGGTCAGTCACTCTCTGACCAGACTCCAGACAGAAGTCAGAGGTGGTTATTGATATGATGACTGGATGTGAGTGACAGGAGAGGAGGGGCAGGCCGGGGCGTCCCTGGCCATACCATCCTCGTGTGCAGAATACTACCAGGAGGCGCTGACCTGACTGTGATTCAGCACTCTGTCAGTAATGATGCTTCAGACAGGCTCCTGACTTGTCAGAGTTCTCCAGTGTTTCATGCCATTAGCTGGGCTCAGCTTGTCTGGATGTGCTCTGCTCCTGATCAGCACTGATTAGAGGTAAACTAAC